GCGTGGGTTCAATTACTGGTTTACGTAAAAGGGAAGCGTTAAATTATTTGCGATGAAATACATCTTCGCCGTCTTCAACTTTTGGGATATGAAATTCTGAAGCGTGCGTAATTCGAGCACCACTTTGTGCCTCATTAGGCACTTCATATTGCGCTTAGGGGAAACGCCACGATGCATTTCTTCTTTTTCATTTATTTCTTTCTCGGTCCACGATTATTTCTTATTCGCTGCTCAATAAATATCATTTCTCGCTTTTTTATCATAATGGGGTAGAAATAATATCAACAAACATGAGTCAAAACACGAAGAAATGCAGCACTTAATTGACTGGGGCGGTGCTGCCTAAACCAGTTCTTACGCGTAGTGCCTATTGATCGGCTGACAGATTTAATAGATTAGTTTATATTCATTTAATCAACAGTGAGTTCCCCACCAGGTCCTACACCCGCAAAGCTACAGCAATGCCTATTGCATATAGATCTCCAGTATCAAACATCACCTCAAAATATATAATCACTGGTCGACTATCCATTTTGACACGAATTATCATATGATAGATGACTATAATATGACGCTATATATATAACCTCTATCACCCCTACTATCTAATATACTATATATATACAAAACTTTGCGGTGGTATTACCTCTGATAGATATATATATGTAATATTGTTAGTATTATGTATATATTGACTCACTTCGGCTTATTCAATATAAACACAATAGGTGTATGGGACTTAAAAACCATAGCCTGATAACGAGTAAGTTTATTCGTTGTTGCGATGGTGCTGTAGCGTCAATCGCATGACACGGGCGCCTCTCTGCGCATCGCCAATATGTTATATAGACTTTCGACTCCGTTGTCACATCTCTCTGCGTGTTTTCAGCTGTCGTCCGCCGTCGTCTCCTGGTAGTATACATCACTGTCATCACTTAAAATACTTGACACGAAACTCTAATATTTTGGACAACAAAATTATGAATATGAATTATGATAATGTAACATATTTATACGTAATATATATATCAGGAGTAAGATAATAGGATCTATATCTATCATATAATTACCCTATTATCTACATCCTGAATCATATCATATATACAATATACTATAATATATAGAAATATATATATCGTGATAGCTGTCTATATTATGTGAATACTTGATCATATCGCATCAATATAAAACGGTATTATTCGCAATTCTCGCCTTTCCCACTCGCCCATTTGCCCATTTCGCCATTAACATCCCACTTAGCCATTTTCCATTTCAGCATTTCCCGTTTCGACCATTTCAAACTTTGCCATTTCCGCAATTTCGCCAGTTCCACTTCTGGCAGTTTCCCATTTCGGCCTAGTTTTCCCGTTTCGACACGCATGGCTCCCATTCCGAACATTTCGTCCTATCGCCCCGATCACCCCCTTGTTCGAAGGAGTGGGTTCAACAGTACACGCCTCTGCTATGAATAAAATTATAAACGAATCTTTAGACTATGGACCATTTATTGAAGAAACAAGAAGGCGAAATTCGTCATATACAAATCTCATGGATCATGTACATGCACCCCATACCTCACCTCTTAACCCCTAACTCAGCCCTAACCCCTAACCTCAGGAAATGACTCCTGTTTTAAGAAATGGAAGGTAGCAATTTTCGATTGCGGGGGTAGAAGCAACATAAAAATAGTGCGAAATGGGAACTGTCGCGAGGAGTGGGAAATGCGGAAGTGGGAAATGGCGAATGCGGAACTGGCGGGCCTATTCGTAATGGGAAATGGCGAAATGGGAAATGGCGAAGATGGGAAAATGCGCGGAAAGGGAGAGACACCATAATAAACAATAGGCTGCGATGGCTAAAATGCCACGTATTAATGCGAGTAAGTGCACTGATATTCTGCATTGCGCAGGCGTGCTCTCCTCAGCATGCACTGGTCCTATAGATTTTTGACTCTGGTGTCTTCTATTCTGCGGTGTTTCAGGTGTCTTACGCGTTCGTCTCCGGCTATAGTAATCACTGTCATCACTTCAATATTGACACGAATATCAATATTGACACAAATATCAATATGGAATATGGTATGGAATCACCATATAATTACAATAGGTTTATCGGCCTAAAACATGCCGTATCTATAAACGAGTAGAGATATATCGTTGTGCATGTAGAGGACACCGAGTCAAATCTATATACATGCGATGCGCAGAGAGGCGCCTGCATGCGATACAGCACACATCGCACAACGATATACTTACTCGTATAATACGGCATGTTTAGCCATACACCTATTGTTTATATGGTGTCTTCCCATACCATATTCATATTGATATTCGTGTCAATCTTGATATTCGTGTCAATATTGATAGTGATGCCAGTGATTATATATTTTAGTGATGTGTTGATACTAGATCTATATGCAAAGCATGCTAGTAGCTTGCGGTTGTTGGACCGTGGAACTCACTGTGATTAAATATAAACTAATCTATTAAATCTGTCAGCCATCAAGAGCAATAGCGTCGAACTGGGTTAGGCAGCACCGCCCCAGTCATTATATGCTCATTTCTTCGTGTTTGCTCATTTTTGTTGATTTATTTCTACCCCATTATGTAACAAACGAAAATGGATTTTATGAGCAGCGAAATAAGAAATATCTGGACGAGAAATAAATAAATGAAAAAGAAGAATATGCATCGTGGCGTTTCCCTAGGCGAAATATGAATGCATAACGATCGCACAAAGTGGTGCTCGAATTACGCACGCATTTTAGAATTTCATATCCCAAACGTTGAAGACGGCGAAGATGTGATTTCACTCGCAAATAATTACGTCAACTTTTACGTAAACCAGTAATTGACCCACGCGGGCGGGAATAACGCGGTGGCGTGCGCACAAACACTCGATCCGGTTTTAAACAACTTCTAAATTTAACTGGATGGTTTCACTTAGATGAGACTCCGGCGGCATATTTTTTTCCCCACTTGAGTTCCGGAATACAGCCAATCAGCGCACTCCATTCACTCGCTTTCTAAGCAACAATGAAAAAATATGAGTATCACCTATACTCCCCCCTAACCCTAACCCGAACCCTAACACTAACTGTAATCCAACCAGGTTTATCTTATATACCACCCATTTATTACCAAACACTATCTATGGTGTATCCGGAACTCGAGTGGAAAAAATAATTTCGCTGACGGCACACTGTACAAGACAGGAATGCAGCGCATTGTAAACGTTTCATGAGACGACGGCGATGCGTTCTACATTTCGTGCGCCGAATACCTGATCGCGACATCAGAATCGCTCCGGCGCATTTGCGATTTAACGATAACACATCATAAACGGCATCGCAACTTTACGTTTAAAAAAAAAAACTGCTTGCGAAAGCGCAACACTAGCAGACGCGCCCACGCCGCTTATCATTCCATTGTCGTCATCGGCGGACGACTTTCTTTTCCACTGCGCACCATACTGCGCATGCGTAAAGGGCTGCAGAAGAAGAAAGAAGCATGTTGCCCAACCCGGTCGCAAACCTAAATACTAAAAAGTCAAAAAAATCATCAACGCGTTACGCAATAATTCATTGCGTCATTGTCCGATCTTCAGCAGGTGTCGCGCGTGGGGTTGAGGTAGGAGACGAGTCGTCGCCGAGACTGAAAGTGTCACTAACGCGCGCCGCTGCTGCTCGTGGCCGACAATCCGTGACCCATACTTCGCAGCGGCGGCGATACGCGGAGATACGGGAATGCGCGCATCACTGACGCGCCGTACGCAGGTACGTACACCGCTCTGTTGAGCGTCGTAGATCTGCTTACAGGTAGACACGTACGAAACCCGTCGACGCTTATCGCCAGACTGTGTGCGCCGATCTGCGCACATGAAAGCCTTGACGCGGGCGTACCGTGCCGGCCCGCGGGCTTTATGCTAATGTATAAGGGCTGGTCCCAAGAGTGAGAGTTAGCACTTTTATTCGCGCTCGTCGCCCACTACTACGTCAACGACGGAATGTAAATCAGAGAAATTAAGAGATATATAGAGATAGTGAGAGAAAGCGCGCGCGCGATTGAGGTTGAGAGAGTGGGAAGAGCGAGAGAGAGCGAGAGGGGAAAGGGAAAGGAGGTGCGAAAGAAAAAAAAGCGAGGTTGAAAGCGCGTGGGAGAGAGATCGAATGTATCTAAAAGAAAGAGAAACGGAGACAAAAAAAGAGAGAAAGAGAGCGCGAACGAGAGAACGAAAGAAAGAGAACGGGAGAGGAGAGAGATAGAAATATGTAGAAAGAGAGCTAAAGCGAGAGACAGATGGACAGAGAATGAAGGCAAAGAAACAGCACGAGTATGACGCATGCATGTGCGCACAATACGAGAGCGTGAGAAGAGAAAGCGAGACGAGGAGAAAGCGAAAGGGGGTGGTGGGAGCACACGCCCGCTGTCACGCTACGTGGCATACCGTATCCTTGCTCAAGGCGACAAACCTAATGGTTTCACTGTCGTCGAGATAGTAATCAAATTCAGTTCAGGCGATTACTGCTTTCCATTGTTACTGGTCACGTGCATCTTGCTGCGCACGTTGACCGTGATTGATATCATCAGAAATTATCATTGATACGAGGCAACTTAGCGAATTTTACCGTTAAATCCTTTACACATTTTGACGCAGTAGTTCATTCAAATTCCCACCCCTCCCTCTTATTTATTTATATTTCGCATGGACGGTAAGCTTTGCAATGAGTCATCGCTTCTCGATTTCTCTCGTATGTACGCGCGTCTTAAAGTTCTATACGAAAATCTCCGCGCAGTTCAACTACTTATTTATTTACTTTACTTATTTTTTACTTAGACGTCAAAAGCGCCGTGTTAGAGAAGTTTTTATCGCTGCGAGCGCAAGGAAAGGTGAGGCACCGCGGATGATTAATGCTCATAGTGTTATCCGCTGTCGTGGTTCGCGTGTGAGAGAAATTTGGTTGTACTGACCGCCCGACATATAACGGCCCGGCCGGCATCATACAGAAGACTGCGCCTGTGTCTTGTCCATTGCCCCTTTGGGAGCCCTGCGGCGAAAAGGGCTACGACGCGAAAAGGGAATTCTTTCGGAAAAATAACCCGCACATCGCCTGTGAATGGCGACGGCGGGTTCGACAAGGCGCCGTGCATATACGGCCTTGGTCTTGCTACAGCCCAAGTCATCACGTGTCACTGCATGTGTCTTTTCGCGCACCGAGCCAGCCCGTAGATGAGAGGTTTCTCTATTATACACGCGGTGGCTGAAACATCTTATATCTGCCCGCGAGAGAGCGTTGTGCCGCCGCTGAACAGATAAGAGCAGTACTACAAACACAATGATAGCGTGTCGGAACGACGTCTCAAGCAATAGCGCGGGTAATGACGTGCGTAGTGTCGTGGATCATCGACATTGGCAACGTCATGGACATGACGCCGACAATTACGTGTAAGCTATGACGTCGACAATGACGTGCAGGTATTGACGTCAACAATTACGTGTAGACAATGACGTCAATAATTACGTGTAGGTAATTATGTCGCCAATTAGATACAAATAATGATGTTATGTTTGTGCACAATGATGCGAACAGAGGAGTAGATTAGCGTCAGTATATCGTCGTCAAAGCTTTGTTACACTTGTCACGGCCTTATTTGCGATAAATACAAATTGAATTTACTACCAAAGTTACAATGTCCGTATACTTACTATATAGCCTAATAGTTTAACGCAAACGCCGTTCAAATGCTCTATAACACGTAACCCTACCGCACGCACGCTACTGCGCAGAAACTCATGAACGATATGCTATATATTTTTGTTCTGTCATGAACCTTCAAACGTCGGTAGTAAATATAATTTTTGTTTATTTAGTATCGTTACTATCAAAGCGGACCGAGAGCCTAAGGGTAACAAATCTTTTACTTGATCAGTGGCTGACGTGCTAGGAATAATATGAAATGAACATAAGTGTGCACGTACGCACGCACATACACACACGCACACACGCGCGCTCGCTAACGTAAAGATACATACACCCGCACGCGCATGGACGCACTCACACTCACATACATGCACACACACTCATGCCCGCACACACACGCACTTACAAACAGACGCTGCACGCGCGCGCATGTCTGCATTGATGAAATGATCACGCGTACCACTAAATACACGTTCGGATACGCGCACGCCGGTTAAAGCACACGCACCATACATACACACTCGCCCACACACACATACACGCGCGCACACACGCACAGCGCGCACTTTGTCGCGAGATATATGCAACCACACCCAGAACCTACCTAGCAGGGCGCAAAGCGCGAGTATCCGACAGCCGCCTGTCATCTTTAGTGTTGCTGAAGTTGCTGCTGTTGCTGCTGTTGTTGTGACGGCAACTATAAACTATCGTCCGTGTTACCGCGTAGGAACGTCAGGAAGTCTTTGTCTGACGTTGCCGTATATATCTCTGCTCACGCGGCCTGTAGGCTCTTTCTCAAACACGCACGCTACTGCTACTGCGACTGCTGCTGCTGCTGCTGCTTCTGCTACTCTACCGCATGCGCCTGTAGCTTCTGGTGAGCACGCAATGCCGCGTCCCGCATCTTAACGGCTCCGTCAGCCCGTCCTTGAAATATCTCGCCCGCCATCGGCGTATCGGCCGAGCAGACCAGCATGTTCTCACTGCTAACCTATATATTATTCAGACGGGAGTCGCCGCTATGCGGTGACTGTGGGGACCCTGTGGCGACTCGGCTGCACCCGATCGTGACCGTAATCACGCATGAGTCGCGTGCGCGCGCTAGATACTGTATACCGACACAGTTCGTCGAGCATCCACGGGTGATGATGCATGTGTAACAATAACTAACCCACCCATAGTAATAAATATTTATATATATATATATATAAATATATATAGGGGTGCGTTATTTCTAGATATATATATATATATATATATATATATGTATATATTTCTATGAATATGAATAATATATAAAGGAGTACGTTATATCTAGATCTGATGAATTGCTTTGCTATTTATCACTATGGAACAATTATTACGATACCTTGTCATTTTAAAGAAAATGGAGGAACACAGCAGGGATGGACTGCTTTTCTCTGAACGCACTCGGGCATAGATCCGTGTAAGCGACCGGTGTATGCAGCAGTTATAAAATGAATAGTTACCGGGCAGTTGTCAAACATTCACCCTGGGATGGATTAAAACTTGCCGACTCTCATCCCGGGTTAACTACGCGTGTAAAAGTTCATTTAAATTCCGAGGCGGCATCGTGACATGCACACAAAGTGACACGGTACCGTCGCGACGCACCGCGGCAGGCGTGTATAGTGAAGAAAATATTGTTAAATATTGTTGAATGAGTTCTAGTAACTTTGTTTAAAGAACAACTTCATTTTGTGTAAGTAACGCCGTTTTGCACAAATTATTACCACGCGGTTAGCAAGTCGTTCACGACGTCGCTTTAATACTTATTATACTCAAGCGATATACACCGACTACTGAGGTGCTTTGCAGAAGCTGTCCATTCCAAGAAAATGCTTGTAAACCTTTACCGTGTCGAACTCAACAGACACACAGATACACATGCTCGTACGCTCGTACGCGCGCACGCACGCCTCACGCACGCACGCACGCACACACCCACATACACGCGTACGCTCACGCACACCCGCAAACACAGGCACACCCGCACGCAGGCATAGACGTACACGCCACAAGCACACACATGCATGAACGCAAGTACGCATGCACACGCGCAGTCACGCAAACACACACGTTTTCTTGTTGCTGGTGGTATCCACGGAAGAGAAATGTATATAGTGCGGTGGTTACTGTTTTTTCGTTTGTTTGTCTTCTAGTGAGCCGTATCTTAATATCATTCATCCATATTCTCAATCCAGTCGTCCATGATTCTTGCCTCCATTGCTAGATACGATAGTTAGCGCGCGACCTCGCCAGCGCCCGAAACCACCGGGTAGATATCCATGGCTCACTAACATTCGTGGATGAGTCTAAGGGCGGGGCTATCTGTGACGCACACACATTTCGCCTAGAGGTGGCGCTTATTCGTAATACATCCGCATAGCACATCGATGTACGTATCGCCTGTGTCTACGCCCGCCATGCGCAGCCTTGCAATCCCTGATCGAATTCTGAATTCAAGCAGAAATGCTATAATCTCCAGCATCTAAATAATTATACATCGCATATAGCGTGTTTATCAACTATTAAGCTGATATCTACGCGCGTCTGAAATGCTTGCGCCTTTCTAAGGTCGCCTCATAATCAACATTAATATGTAGATGACTAGATAGTCATGCGCGCGATAGTTTGGACAGACGAGTAAATTGTGACCTAGTTGTTATATCGGTGGTAGTTTTCGATGAAATTTTATGACCGCGTGTGTTACTGGTCATAAGTCAACCATGCAACTGCCGCCCTCGTCTATGTGACGGCATATTCGCTTTTTCGATACTATTCTTTCGATTATTTCTCATATTTTATATTATATTTTTATGTTATTTGTTATACTATTCCATCCTATTTCTTCTACGCTATACTATTTGCGAAGCAGTTTAACTTAGTAAGTGGTTAGAAATTGTGTAACTGAATTTCTGCTATATAGAGAATGCGGTTAGATATATAGTAGTTATTTTTTAACAAAAATCTATAATATTTATGTTCTTAATGAAATTGTGACATCGTCAATTCAAGTTCGACATAGTATGTGTCTACTGCTAGCAAAATCATTTCGGTGCCCGTAGTATCGAGTTAATGGTAAAGCTCCATGCAAACATGCCAATTTTAATGACAGTGGATAACGTAGATATAGTATACAAACGTAAGGTCGTATATCAATCAGTTGTGACAGAAACTGGCATCCTCTTTTTGTACTTGCACGCCCATTCATCTAACAGCGACCACTCGACTCTGTTTGCCACCCAGCCGTGCATTCAAATTAATGCACGCGTGCATTTCCGTGCTCGCGCGCGCACGGCCGCCACACGACGACTATGCATATTTACGCTGTCCTCGAGTTGTCGCGTGCGGCGTCAACGCACCTGATATCGCCGGTGGAATTGTCGCATAGTGTAAGTGAGCATTGCGGTGAACACGGGATAATTGACAGCACGCGTATGAGGTTGTCCTTGCAACACTAACATTTGCAATGTAATCGATTGAAACCGACACATTAGCTAAATTAACAAGACAATATTTTGGTGGTCGATATCTCTAAAAGGACAGCAGTAATGTTTAAAATACTAATTGACAGCTCTATCGTAACTTTACAGTGGGCGTGTTCTCTCTTTCTCGCTCTCTCTCTCTCTCTCTCTCGCTCTCTCTCTCTTTCTCTCTCTCTCTTTCTCTCTCTCGATTCTCTCTCTCTCTCTATCTATCTATCTCTCTCTCTCTCTATCTATCTTTCTTGACCATCTTCTTCTTCCCCTTTTTGTCGCGCTCTCTTCTCCTGTCTCGAGCGCGCATACTCCCCGTCCTCTTACTATTTCACTTACTGTTTCTCTTTCAAATGTTATGTTTTAGCAGGGCCGGAGGCACAGAAGGCATGCTTTATTTCTGAAAGTTGGTTATATAGCACATGTCCTAATTAATTTCTTTAGAACTATGGAGATTAGTGGGTCTACATGCGTTTCAGTTCAGCGAAACTACCCCATTTATTTTGATTATATTACATGACAGGTAGACCAGATCTGCCCAGGATAATTTATGTAATACATAAATCTTAGAGTAGTTTCATAATTCTAATCAGCCTATCGACATTTGTTTAAAAGTGATTAGCCAATTAGAATAAATTTTGCGATTTATATTTCTTCAGCAAGTATGAACAAATTGAAGCAGAAAGAAGCATGACTTATATTACTTTTAAAATACGGTACGTATAATTCATAGCAAAATAACAACACTGCATTGTGATTGAATTAGAAAAAGTAAACTGAAATTTAGACGTGAGTAAAGATTACTATATTATATCTTTATTACGGTTGAAAGATTTCGGCAAATGTAAGGCAAAGAATAATGCAGATGATGTAGATCGTACGAGCTCTGAAATAGATTCTCCATGAAGATAGATTGCACACAAAAGATTATTTTATATGTACAGGTGACATAGTTGCATGTTGCCGACTGGTTGTACAGTAAATTGTCGAAAATAGTGTAGGAGATAGCAGAAAAATCGTGCAAATGATGATACAAGCATCAAACTTGGCACACTTGTTCTCCAAGTGATACTAATCAGATCTGCCCGATTGGCCAATTGAAAATCCAAGATGGCGGCCATTTTTCAAGATGGCTGCCAAATTAGCCTTTCGAAGTTGACGTTTTGCTTAGAAGTATTTGTAGTTGTCCGATTTGCATGATCTAGATGTGAATTCCTATGTTTTCAAACCTGCTGAAGTAGATTTTCCTGTTTATAAAGCACACTGACACATATTTTTCTCACTTTTCACATTTGTTTATGATTTTCATACGTTTGCATAGCTATGGGGTGTAGGGGTGTAGTGTTAGAGGTAGTACCTTTGTTTTCAGCAGTCAGCCACATTCATTGGATGGACTACTGGCACTGGTCCTCACCACTGGCCCAACTCTCATCTATGGTTTCAAGAAGATGCTAGTGCACGGCATCGGCCACACCCTAGTAAACCGCGTTGGCTCGCAGGCTAAACTAGATGAGGGTAGTACACAAAAGGTCTCTGCGTGTGATGGAGGTGACATCACTGCTGTGAAACCTGTCAGTCATACAGAGTCCATATACTGTCAGACTACCAGAGTCATACTGAGACCATACAGAGTCTTACCTGTCTGCATCCAGTGTTACCAGGACAAGACAAGCACACCAGATCACTGCATGCAGCTTTTACAAACTGATGAAGAAGGCATACCATGATTACCGCTCTGAAGAGTCTAGTATATCAGATATAACCTTTGAGGATTGGTGTGAACAACGGAGGAAAGAGAGTCCGCAGTTCCAGTTCTGGAGTCTGGTGCTGGACATGGAGCTCACCATATTCACCCTGATCCGCTCATTCAGAGAAGACAACTTCAACTTGTACCGTGAAGCACTTTCAGAACTGGTGTCTTACTTCTTTGCGAATAACAATGTCAACTATGCGCGATGGATCTCAATTCACCTCCGAGATATGATGTCACTTGAGCAACAACATCCAGATGTGGCCAGGGAGTTTTACAAAGGGAACTTTGCCATCCACAAGTCAAGAAGTAAATTCTCTGCCCTAGCGATCGACCAAGCACACGAGCACAATAATGCAGTGATCAAATGTGACGGAGGATCAATTGGGTTGACAGAAGACCCGTCAGCACTTCGTAGGTGGATGGTCGCTGGACCCGAAGTTAGTAGTCTAGTAGCTGGATACGAGGCCATGTCTGGTATAAAAGATGCCACCTACAGCAGCAGACACCATGAGCAGACACTGAGTGCCCAGAAATCTTTCTTTGAAAAGGTGAAATCACTCTCTGCAGTGATGCAGGAGATAGGCAACCCATTCCAAGAAGAATCAGCCGACCTGATGGTGCTAGACACGAAGAACATTGCAGACCCAACTCTAGCTGAAATGGTAGCTACACATCACCGGCGGGGCAAAGAGCAGTTCCAATCATTCATAGAGGGGCTAGAGGAAAAAGGTCAAAGTCCTTTCTATCATCCAATCAAGAAAAACCTTGTTTCTTTCTTCAAACAAAAGCAGGATGAGGGAATTTCTAAGGAGAAAGTCCTAAAAAACGACTGTCAGTTATTCTCGCGACTGTTCATCTCGTGACAGAACAGGCAGTGTGACTTGCAAGAATTCTTCAAGCACGAGAATCAGTCACACCCTGCATCTCTCAGTGACAGCGGCAAGCTTCATTCGTGTCAGAAGTCACAGCTGGTTGAAATTCTTGAAGCGCAAGTGAACATCCCAGACAGAGAACCAAAGGGAGATGCAATCATCATTGATGGCTCAGCACTTATCAATGCCTTACCTCCACGTACTTCAAAGACATTTGATGACTATGCTAAAGAAGACATCATCCCAAAGGTGGAATCTTATGGTGCCAGGTACGAGCGAGTGGACGTAGTCTTTGATGTATACAAGAAGTCTGAAATCCGAGACGAGGTCGAAAAGGGGGCAAGGAATCAGATGAAGAGTGACAGGAACGAGTAAGACACCAGGAAACTGGCAAAGCTTCCTTTGTGACGCCAGCAACAAGACTGAGCTGTTTCACTTTTTTGTGGAAAAGATGTGTGAAGCAAAAACCGCAAGCACAGTCATCGTCACAAAAGGAGAAGATGCCATTAGCAACACAAGGAAGTCTCTGGATGCTGTGTCACCATGTTGTCATGAAGAAGCTGACAGTCAAATATTTGGACACGCCAGGGATGCAATGACTGATGGGAGCAAGTTTATTATCATTAAGGCTAATGACACGGACGTGCTACTAATAGCAATATTTGTACTGCCATCCTTACAGGAACTAGATCTTGAGAAAATGTGGATTGCCTTTGGCCAAGGAGCCAAGATGCGATGGATTCCAGTACATGAGGTAGTTTCTTTAATAGGGCTTGAGAAAGCTAGAGGGATTCCATACTTTCATGCGTTCACTGGATGTGACGTCGTGTCTGCCTTCCGTGGAAATGCGAAGAAATCTGCATGGCAGACTTGGAACGTATTTGATGATGTTTCTGAACAATTCACTAATCTCAGCCAGCATCTAACATTGATTCGTGATCTTGCCCTGCAGAGGCTGGAGAGATTTGTTGTCCTCGTGTACGACAGATCAAGCGCAGCCACTGCATGGTGTGAACGAAGCAAGACTAGATCTCTTTGCCCGCAAGTAGAGGCCGTACAACTCAAGTCCACCAACACAGGCAGCCCTCAGAGAACATGCAAAGCGTGCGGCCTATCAGGCTGGGATCATCTGGGGCCAGGCAACCATCTCCAATCCAGACACGAGCAGTCCCGCTGAATGGGGGTGGACACAGAAAGAAGAGACATGGCAGATATGTTGGACAACACTACCCCCTATTGCAGCGAGCTGTCGGAAACTGACTAAGGGTTCCTGTAAGAAAGGTTGCAAAGGAAGATGCAAGTGCTTTCAGTCAGAGATCCTCTGCACATCACTCTGCAGCTGCATATGTGAACAGTAGCAGCTGGAGGACCAGTGGCATGGTATGCATAACTTTTACTAGCCGGGGCAAAGCTTACATAATGAAAAACAGACAATCTGTTGGGCATCTTGAAAAAGATGTGTCAGTGTGCTTTATAAACAGAAAAATCTACTTCAGCAGGCTTGAAAACATAGGAATCCACACCTAGATCATGCAAATCGGACAACTACAAATACTTCTAAGCAAAACGTCAACTTCGAAAGGCTAATTTGGCGGCCATCTTGAATTTTCAATTGGCCAATCGGGCAGATTTGATTAGTATCACTTGGAGAACAAGTGTGCCAAATTTGTTGCTTGTATCATCATTTGCACGATTCCTCTCAAAAATTTGCTCTCAAAAAAACACTAAAACGTGTGAATGTTGGCGGAGCACTGGCTCTCAGCTTATTATATCCCTCATAAGCCCCGTATAACAGTCACGCTTCCATAGCAAGAACAGCTGGAACTCTTGCGCAGTCTATTGCACAAGCATTATTGTAGTAGTAGTAGTAGTAGTAGTAGTAGTAGTAGTAGTAGTAGTAGTAGTAGTAGTAGTAGTAGTAGAAGTAGTAGTAGTAGTCGTAGTCGTAGTAGCAGTAGTTGCAGCAGTAGTCGCAGCAGTAGCCGCAGCAGTATAGCCGCAAAAGTAGTTGTCCGTCGTCCGTCGTCCGTCGACCGTCGTCCGTCGTTCGTCGTCCGTCGTCGTCGTCGTCGTCGTCGTCGTCGTCGCCCGTCGCCCGGTCGCCCGTCGGCCCCGTCGTCCGCCGCCGCCGCCGCCGCCGCCGTAGGAGTAGTGCCTACTATTAAATATTTAAATAATAATATTTAATAATAGTAATAATAATTTATTTATTAATAGTAATTCTCGAACGCGATTAGCAGATATTTAGCTGCATGCACATCTTCACGACACGCCACCTCGACATCGGATCGTGGCGAAGAAGGCGGCTCTCATCTTGACGCTGAAGATCGAGTAGACGATCGGGTTGACCATCGAGTTCGCGTAGCCGCACCACGTCGCGAACGTCATCACCGACGTCGGCGCGTCGGCGTGCAGCGCCACCCACGGATTGAGCGTCGCGAACGGCAGCCAGAAGACGAAGAAGACGCCAAGAACGGCAGCCATTGCGCGTGTGAGCGCCACCTCGGAGCGCAGGCGTCTTGCGGCGACGCGCGCCGCCGGCGTCGCCGGACCGTCGGCGGCGGCGGTGCGACGCAGCTGCCGCTTGACGGTGAGCGCCATCCACACGTAGGCGGCCGCCATGAAGGCTAGCGGCGCGTAGAACGAGAGCAGCCCACAGACGACGGCGAAGCGGAAGGTGACGGCCAGCACGCATGCGCCGCCCGCCTCGACAACGCCGTCGCCGTGCCACGAGCGCGGAACGGCGGCGACGACGATGCCCATGCCGGCCGACAGCAGCCACGCGAGGCAGACGCCCCACGCGACGAGGACGCGCGCCACCTTTCGGTAGTGTAGCGGCCAGCGCAGGGCCAGGAGGCGTTCGCCGGCGATGACGCAAAGATGGAGGATGCTGCAGTTGCTGAGCGCGACGTCGAGAGCGAAGCTGACGCGGCAGTACCACGCGGCGAAGGTCCACACGGCGGTCGTCGCGTAGACGACGTGCACCGGAAGCACGGCGACGCCGAGCAGCAGGTCGGCGACGGCCAGCGACAGCAGCACGTAGTTGTGTGCGACGTGAAGCGCCTTGTGGCGGCATATGCTAACGACGACGACGGCGTTGCCGAGGACGACGGCGACGTTGATGGCCGCCATCGTGAGAGCGACGATGATTGTGCCCACTAGCGCCATCTGCTGGTCGTCATCCGACGCCAGCGCACCTGTTGTGTTGTTGCTCATGGCGAATCTGTGTAACGTCTACTGCATAATATACAACGTAGCACGCGTGTTGTATACACGTCACGTATTATTACGTTCACGGACGTCGCAGACGTAACCATGTGTAATGACGACAGTGTTCTCTCATCGGCTTGCGCGTACTCCTATACAATTATATATAATTCAGCAGGGATAACAGATAATACTTGAAAGTTTGCTAAAAGTCGTATATACGCTTATCCTGCGGGAGGGAACGCCTTCGATCGTCTGGTAGCTTGTGTAGAAGCCATGTTGCTGTCCGAGACCCGACAGTGATACAAGTGATCAGGGCTCTGCTGCGTCACTGATCCACAACGTTGATGATTACATTATAAACGTTACACGCAACATAACAAAGCAAGCCGCGTCAATATTGTCCAGTCTTATTTCAACATGTTATGCTTGCATCTATGACAAATACGACATATGGATATGGATGCGTATGTCGTATTTGTTATAGATGCTATATAGCAGAACAGGCTGGTTATTTACACACAGTGTACCGGCACAGTATGTAGTTACACACAAGGTGGTTATATAGACACGACGAGACGTCAATGTAGATGCAGTCCCATGTATGTAGTATCACACGCGCGAACGATGTCTATGCTGTGACGTTTTAGAAGAATATGATGATCGCGATCGTGTGCACGGTCCCATCTATTTCACACATATATGGCTTTGTGTTGCTTACGGTGCGCACCTATGGTGTCATATTCCACGAACCGTGTGCGTATGTGTCACGTGTCTTTATTTTCATTGGGTATATTGATACTACGATATTGATCAGCGAAGGACCTGTTATGTGCAGTGTAGTGTGGCGCGTGCGCATACAATACCATTTTCCAGCAATCTTTTTTTCCGATTTATAACATAGCCGAGTGCGACATAGCTTATGCGCGTAAAATATTATACGCGAGCATACGCGTAACACAATTATATATAACTATAACTTAATTATTTTCATATATTTATGAGAAAATATAAAAAATATATACGTATATGTATACACATTATATTAATACACATTATATGCAAATATAAATAGTTGTTTAAAGCCAGCGGAACTATGAAGCTCCTGACAAGGCAAATTCACTCGTCGAAATACATAATACAAATTTTGAAACAAAATAGAATACAGGCATAAACAATCCCATCGGTTTGTTATACGGTGCACAGCTTACGTTAACAATCTTAACAGGTGCCAAAGGAAGGCTAGACATACTGAGATTAATAAAGCCTGAGCATCGGCCGTGACTTTTCCTGAAGAGTGTGTTGTCCTATCAAGCTTGAGTGTCGTGAAAACTGGTATGTGTTCACTCTCCGTCACTGGCCGCGGATCTCCATCTGCCGTTGTGCTAGCGAACGAGTGCTCGCCTAGCCCCGAAATATACTGATGAGTTTCTTCAGAGCTGTGATAGCTGGTAGCGGTAGACGAAAATTGGAAGCCTCCGGTTTCTTCCCTGTCGGTCGTAAAACTCTTTGTGATCTGAACCGTAAAATCTGTTCCGAGTTACAGAACACGTCAACAGCAATAGTTAAAGGCGCTTTAGTCATTTGAGATGCGCGGAATAGCAGTGATATTCCACACAGTTTTACATTTAATATTTCACATCATTCATAATCGTGTCATAGTTAATACCTATCTTTATTTGGTCAAATAAATATTTAAAAGGTGATCGAAATATATTAAACAAATGAAAAATAATTAATCGTGAATAGACAACATTTATAAAAAATGCGTGATTACTTTTTGTTTGTTTCGGTGGCGTTGTTGCTGACGTTGGTGTGGTGGTTGTCACAGTCGTTGACGGCATGGTGGTTGTCGCAGTCGTTGGCGGTATGGTGGTTGTCGCAGTTGTTGGCGGTATGGTGGTTGTCGCAGTCGTTGACGGCATAGTGGTTGTCGCAGTCGTTGGCGGCGTGGTGGTTGATGTTGCTACACTCGTTGGATCTTTACATGTAACTGCATTTAAGCAGCACGCGCCACGTTTAATAATTTTAAACACAATTACAGTTATAATTCACACGGTGATTACAATATATCACGAGAGAGGCGGATAGAAACATAGCGAGATGAAGTAAAAAAGAGCTAGAAAGACAGAGAAGAGACTGCAAACGAAAGAGAACCAGAGAAATATGGCGGGATGTAAAGACAGCGTGTAAAAGCTAGAGAGCAATCAAAAACGAAAGAGTTAAAGAGAGCGGGAGAGAAGGAGAATGAGAGAAAGAGAGAGAGACTAACGGGAAAGGGGAGGCATAGGAAGGGAGAAATAAGACGGGCAAGAAACATAGGGGTAGTTTTAAAATGTTTCCATGCCAATGCAAAGCTTCGATAATCTTACCCACGTATCGCACGTTGAACATGGCAGTGAAGGGAGTGAATATTCTCAGCAACACTGCTGCCTCGTTTGTTTCAGTCGTAACTGTGAACGTGGGGATGTCGTATCCGCAAAACCTGGAAAAAGGACAAATTGTTTTATTAATTTCAACATAGGTAACAAAAACTAACATTATTATTTCATTTTTCCCTTCGCCATTTGCGGTTAATTGGCAAACATCGCGCTCAGCAACGTATTGTTTTGGGCTTTAAAGGTAAATTTCAGTCTTTACACGCGGCGTTTCTTTTCCTCGATGAAATTTACACATCGCTGCAATAATATTACATCCGAGCGTGTTTTTTGCGCCGAGCGCGTATTGACTCTGGGTTACAGGATGCAGGCGCGTGCTCCCGTGTACGCAAGGATCTATAGGGCACGGCTAAATCGATGCAGGCGCTTTCTACGCTGGATCGCTGGTTGACATACCTTGCGCCAGGATTAATGAGGCTGTCGTTTCTGTATTTAAACTCGACGTAGTCGGGACACGGCTGCAGAAAGCTGCCGAACCAGGCTGTGCTGATGACATCGAACCACAGTGTTATCCTTCCATTATGCGGCGCCTGCGTGGTTACAACAGCAGAGATGCAGAATGCACGCGCAATCAAAAGCTACAGCAACATGCGTTATCTAACGTAGCATGGCATAGCATGCAACATGACTCGTTTGGCCTAAATATTGTTTTATTTCGATCGATGGGTTTACTCATTATTCAATGAATGCTGCTATCAATGCACGAATTGGATGCATAATGCATGGAAGCATATTAGGTAGCAGCGTCAAGATTTTATTTGTTGCGGGACAATGGGAATGATTTTAATAATACCAGGATTACTTGATATAGGGACTATATCATCTCTTTCGAATTGACTCATGACAAAACGTAATCACATCTTAAAAGTACATAGTAATACAGTTGGTCTACTGTTACCATCCAACAATGTAAACGCTCAGACGTCAATCTCCAGTGGTTATTACCGTATGAAAATGCCCCTCTCCAGTGGTAATTACGTAAGCACAATGTAGTCATTAAGTATTAATAACTATAGTGCAATGTGCATGTCACGCCCAATTAGTAATAATATAATCAGCCTTAAGATTCGCATGACCGCGGAGTTTTATCTGTTTTATAATCACATCCAAAGCTATAGTTCTATGTCATATTATAGTTTTGTGAACAGGAAATTCAGCAAAAAAGAATAATGTGATTCAGAGCGTAGTTTAGATAGTAAATTCCGGCAAAATTCAGATCGTCCTACGCTGCTATGCGGCTCGGTATTGACATGGTGTATATTTCGCTGAGGTTTATATACCTTTAATAACCAACTGCATTTCTGTTGCGGTAATGTCCTAGCGAATGGATATCCAGGACTCGGTATCATTCCCGTCTCGTCGCACTTAAGGTGTTGCACGCCACCACATTCAGCTGTCACGGGAGGAAACACAACAATTATTGACATTATAAGAACACGCACACATTTCAAATATTGAAACAATAATACAACCCTTTGTGAAGAAACTCCAATAAGTGAAAGAGCAATTCCATTAGTCTAAATTTGTTATCGTGTGCGTGTGTTTATGCGTACGTGCGTGCGTGCGTTCGTGCGTGCGTGCGTGCGTGCGTGCGTGCGTGCGTGCGTGCGTGCGTACATGTGTACGTAAGTGTATGCACGTAATGTATGTAAAGAGAGAGAGAGAAGAGAGAGAGAGAAGAGAGAGAGAGAGAGAGAGAGTGAGAGA